TAGAAACTCATGTCCAACAGAAGAATTTCATTATGGTTTCTGATTCTCTGTTGCCTGGATGGACTGCACTTAACAACTATGAGCATGCCAAATTAGGAAGAATTTGGGTATTTCATAGACCCCATATTCACATGTCTATATTTAGTATGCATCATCAGGCCATTCATTGTCATGTATTCAATTCAACAACTGCTCAATATCTGTTCTTGAGTGTGATATATGCTGATCCTTATTCTATTGATCTGAGGCAAGATTTATGGGGGGAGCTAGTAGCCATAGGTCAAGCTTTGCCTAATGTACCCTGGTTAGTTGGGGGAGATTTCAATGAAATCAGGGATTTGTGTGAGAGATCAGATTGGCAATCCATTTCTTGTCTTCCGAAGGAGTCAGAGGTTTTCAATAAGATGCTTAATGAAGTTGAAATTCATGACTTGCCCACTGCTAGCTCATTCTTTACTTGGTCAAATAAGAGGAACTTAGACCCCATTGCAAAAAAGCTAGATCGTTTAATGGTAAATGAGTTCTGGTTCGATGTCTTCCCCAATACTACTGCAGCATTTCTACCACCAGGTTGCTCTGACCATTGTGCAGGCTTAGTAGACATAAAAATCCCTGAGGAGACAAGAGATAGAAAGCCTTTTACATTTTTTAATTTCTGGGCTAAGCATGAAAAATTCCTTACTTTGGTAAAACAATCCTGGGAAACTAATTCAGTACATGGATGCTATATGTTTCAGCTATGCAAGAAATTGAGAGCTTTGAAATTAGTTCTTCGGAAGCTAAATAGAGAGCACTACTGTGATTTGCAGAATAGATTACAACAAGAGAAAAGCAAGCTACATATTATACAAGCAGATTTGTTGGCATCTCCTCATGATGCTTTAGTCAGTATTGAGCATGAGCAAGCTCAGAAGGTGGCTGCTTTGCAACTGGCAGAGGAGTCCTATTTTAAGCACAAATCAAGGATTCAATGGCTAAAAGAGGGTGATGGCAATACAACCTATTTCCATAAGGTGGTTAAGGCTAGAACTTGTAAAAACACAATAAGGGAGCTATATACACTTGACAACAAGAAACTCACCTCCCCATCTGATATGC